AAAGCATAATTTAGCAGCATAGTATTCACAGAATTTTGGATTTCAATAAAAGAATAATATCCCCTTCTAAGTGATAATGCTCAGGGGATTTTAACTCCATTTTCAACGTCATATTTTTGCAAAGCTGTGTTTCTGACGGTTGCGGTAGTATAAAGCAAATATAGAGCAAAAATAAGGTGGGAAAGGAAATGAGGGCAGCTGTGTCCAGTATCATTCCATGATTTGAGAAAATATGGAGTGATTTGCAGGCTCATCCATCACATTAATTATTAATTTAATTTTAATAAGGCATAAAAAATTTTAAATGACGAAGATAAAAGAGATTTATTTTTATCTCTGACTTATGATTAGTCATACTTTCACTTAGGGTGCCATGAAAAATTTTCAATTGAAAAAACCCGGCACAACTCAGAAAATTTTGGGAACCACCGAGTCAAGATGGGGTCTCTTAAGGCTGAAAATGATATACAATTAATGAAATATCAGGTTCAATTAACTTTGGAACTTCATAGGTAGTTGATGGACACCAACACAGGGGCCATCTGGACAAGGCATAACCTTAGATGTTTTCTGTTCAGCTGATTTGCTCACAGAGTGCTTAGAAATCCAAAATCATCTCTAGGTTTAAATTGGTATCCAGGTCTGACCTGTATCAGAATATTGTTTTCAATACTCTTGTTTCTTTCTAACCAGTTCCTTTACCTGGTTGAATATAGTGGCCAATCTCTTCAAAAAAAGGGTGATTTCTGCTATAAAACTATCACTGGAGATAACATGCATGAGATCATGTGTAGCATAGCCTGGAATGTAGCTCTCTTCCAAGTTGGAGGAATGCAGCAGTCTGGCCAGCAGTTTCGCATTTATTCATTGTAAAAGGAATAGTCAGAAGCTTTTCTGCCCAAAAATGTTTATCACTTGCAAATATGGCCAATCTAGGTTTCAAACCTGTTCTTTTGCTTCACAGGATTTGCTTGAGTGTGAGGCACTGCAATGAACACTTCATGAATGTTAAGAAGAAAACTTGCTGAATGAAAGTGCTAACAAACTAAGTTCCATTCTCACTCATTAGCTCTTAAGGTAATCCATTTTGTAAAAAACCTCTTTGATTAATGTAATTGCATATTCCTTCACAGTAACAGTAAATAAAGCCAAAAAGCTCAACCCATTTTTGTGTTGTAGCCTTAACGATAAAAAACCATTTTCTTAAACTGGTACTTTGTGGTAGTGGACAAAATAAATCAATTGCAAGTGCTTCAAAGCATTGGTTATATACTGGATGGTTTCTGATCTGAAGGTTTATAATGGTTGTACTTATCACAATTTTTTATGTGATATGCAACATACTCGCACATTCTGTGAAATAATATCTTTGGGAAATTCTGTGGTTTGCCCCTTTAACACTATAATGCCCTGCCATAGGAGCATCATGATATTGCTTATGAATTCTTTCTCACTGATATATCTTACTACTTAGTTGAACTTCTTCCGATTCAGAATCTGAGAAATAGCAATACAAAATTCCTTGATTCATTATATAACCTTTTCTCATCCAATTAGAAAACATTTAATATTTTACTTTGCTTTTGAAAGATTCTATGATCATTTTAAGATATGTATCCTTCAGCTGTTCTTCACAGATTTCTGCTGCACTTCTCATTGGCATACCAATGGTTATTGAATAAACTTCATATGATTCTCCTTCATGGTTGCATACAGGACATGACAACATATTGACTACAAAATTAGCTCTTCCAGGGGTATTCCATCCTCAAATTATAGGATATTTCATTGCCCGCCTAGCAAGTCTACTTGCAGGTGACTTTAAGCTTAAAGCCCATTTCAATGGTTGGTTATCAGATGCCACTGCAATCAACCGACGATCAATATGGCCACAGAATTTATTCAAGGCTCATACTAACAGCAAGGGATTTTCATTTTGTTGAAGTAATTTCTTCTGGCAGCTGACAACAAATGACTAGCATATTCTATTGGATGTTCTTCTGAAACATTTTCTCATAACAGTACAGACAGCATATCATATATACTAGCATCCATTTGAATAATGTATGTAATAATGTCTTTGTTGCATCACTTTGCTTTCAGACAGGAAAGCTAACAAGAAGTCATTTTAATGCCTGGAAAAATTTCTTCCTCTCATCCCAATATTCTACATACGTTACTTAGAAATATAGCTATTTCTGGAAATTTTAGTATGAATCTTCTATACCAGGAATAGGTCTGCAAAAAAAACTGCACTCGTTTCACATTTCTTGGAGCAGAATCTTCATACAACAGAGGTTTCTTCTGGATCAATCTCTACTCTTCACCAGTTTTTTGAAAGCCTCTGATAGTATAACAGCACCTAAGACACCTAATTAAGTAACTAGCATATCTTTCAAGGCACTTCAAAATTTATTAATCTCTGAAAAGTTGATGGAGGACTTTCCAGTTGGAAAGGCATTCGAATGAAAGTTCCAAATGAGCAAACAAACACTGTTTCGTCTCTGTCTGTAAGACAAATGCTGACTTATGGTAACCGGACCACAAATCAGTGGCTGTCATATATGGTGTAGGTTTAGCAGATACAATAAGTCACCCATCTTGGGTAATGGATATGAGTTTGACATCACAAGAGAATTCAGTTCTCAGTAAACAGCACAAAGTCGAATTCAGGCACAGTGTACGGAGACTCACATTCTTCTATTATTTTCTTTTCCAGCGCATCATGAAGCTCCTTTTTTAAAATATCCTTCTTGGCCAGTATCATCTTAGTGTGGGGGTACTGAAACTAAATGATTATTTTCAGTATTTATATGGTGTCCAATATATGGAGTTACTTCTCCCTCTAGTTGGAACAGTCTTGCATTTCATTAACACAGCATTGAGTTTTTCCCTTTTGTTTTCCTTCACCTTAACTTAATCAAAACATTTTAAATTGCACATTATTTTCAAGACACTTGGGTGGTATGAAAACGTCATCACTAAACACAAATTTCTGTTCAGGGTTGTCATGATAATACCAACTATTATTTGGAAGGTCTAAAACAATTCCAGCGCTATGTAAAAAATCAGTTCTTAAAGCATTCTGTTATATTTTGCTGTAGGTAGCAAGTTAATCAGAACAATCATCCTTCAATTTCAATTTCTACTTAGGTCACATAAATTTCAGTTTTCTTCTAGAAACCATCAGCAAGAGTAACATTCACACTGGTTTTCCCAAATTCTATTCCTTGTTCTCTCAGAAGATGATATAATGCTTCTTTCGATACAGTGTCTCTGGCTTCAGTGTCAGCACAAACAAGTCTGCTTAACACATTTATTTTTATTCTCAAAAGAGTCATCTGGGGCTCCTCGATAGAGTATGTCCGAAGGTGAAATCTGCTTCAGCTTTCTTGAAAGAGGGGGAAGCAGATGAGACATTTAGCCTTAATAAAACTTGATTTCCCAAAACCATAAGCAACTAATAGTTGGTCAATCTTCATTTTTTGCATTGCCTTTTGATGAGATATCGTAAGAATGTTGAAGGTTATCTCTATAATTTTGGGACCATCTCATTGTTGAAAATTAGGGGGTTCTTAAGTAATGTTTTTAGTTCGTACATGTCTATATCTTTTTCATACAGATCTAATTTGTCCATAAACTGAAATGTGTTCATAAAATAATTCAAAAAATTCGATTCACAAACTCAGTGCAAAAAATAATGGATTTTTACTTGGCATCTTAGCTATTGCTAAGATGCTTCACTATTTCCAGTCAAACTATTGACTGAAAACAGTAACCTAGCTATATGCACAAAATACAGTGCTTAGTTACGTACACAAAACTTGTAAAAGGTATGCAACATAACCCATCAAATAAACTATAAGTAATTAGCATTAAATATGTATGATCCATTGCTCCTTTGAAAGAAATCTTTAATGTGCATATTACTGTTAGCTTCATAATACGAAATATAAGCAATTTTAGACAGAAAGTTTACAAATAGAAAATATTTCCAAATCCCTTTTTTCTAGCTTCCACATATGCAGACACACTATATTGGCAGCATAAATTTAGAGACAGGAATAATAATAACACCAAATGGCACAGATTGTACACAGGAGTGCTTCTCATAAATTCTAAGTTGCCTTAGCAGGACATTGGTCAAATAAGACAAATTTTGCAATTCCACATCAAAGAACAGGAAACTAAAAGTAAGAAAGAAAGTAAAAACTACAAAATTCTCTAGTACAAAATACCACTGGATAGAAAACCACACTTTTTAGTTCTCTGCAATCAAAATTATTCAAAAAAAGGCCTTCATTTGACTACTTAGTAAAATTTTTTACATTGATTAAAAAAAAAAAAAAAAAAAAAAAAAAAAAAGGTTTTTTTAGATTCAAACTAGTATTTAATATTAGTTCTTTGCAGAACATAACAGTTACTTCTTGTTCACTTTTTGTTCAACAGATGACATTAGAAATCCTTCAATACATGATAGTTGAGATTCATTTTCAATCAATTGGGTTGAGATTTCAAAAAGGTACTTCTCACTCACATTCAAAACTAATGTAAATTTTGCTAACTTTAGACAAACTACTGCTGTTCACATTTTTCTTTAACATTTAGTTCACTTAGATGTCTTTTCTAACACCAAAGAATACCACATTAATTCTTTAAAACTTTGACCTTTAAACCACATAAGGAAAAGAAATAAATAAATTGCTGTAATTTTTTTTATACTTTTTCTCCAAATCGCTAATTTAAAATGCATTATTCAGTAATAAAACCATTTACTTTCCTTTTACATTCATTTTAAAAGTTAAAAAAATTAGAAAAATAAAGAATTCATTCAATAAACCCTTGAATGCTTCTGCCTGTCAAGAAAAGAGAAATAATGCACAAAAACTCTTTTCATATTTTTTTTTCATATTTTTGTATTACATGGTTGTAATTAAAACAAATATCAACACTACATAAAAATTTTAATTCTCATTATAAATTTACATTAAAATGCTTACCTTAATTACATGGGTAGCTATAGTTGAACAAGGTGACACAACAGTTTTCAGACATCTATCATGTACTACAAAATTACATACTGTAAAAAATAAAAAATAAATAAATAAAATATATATATATATATATAATCATATACTGAATAATATGCAATTGAATAAGATATAAACTAACACAGAATTACATAACAACTCGAGTGTACCACACCGTAATAAATTTTCCAGCTCGTACACACTTCCAAAATTTGATGAAAATTCAATCAAATTGAGATTTATAGATAATGGAATAAACAATTACAAAAAAGGGTTATTAATTTCACCAGAATTCCCCAAAAACGTTTCTACTGAGGCACAGAAACACTAATACTGAATTAAATAACAACTGGATTATCAACAAGGAAGTTATTATAACTTTTAACAAACAACTAATTTAAGATATTAACTACTACAATTTTGAGAACTTAAAACATCACCTTGCCAATTAACGAGATTTACAGTAGTTTAATTAAGCTCTACCACCTATTCCTCAGTATTAAAATCTTACTTGATTTCAATAAATGGGACCTGCCTTAAATAAACACTTCATTAAATATCAAATTTAAATGCTTCTACAAATTAACAGTATTCTTATGGGAACCAAATATTCAACTGCTATCTGTAACAATACAACTGCCATCTGTTCCTCTTCATTAAGAAATATAATTTTATTAACAATTACAATAAGCCAGAAATTTTTTAATTTACCACAATTTCCAGAAGAAACGTCGTGGTGTTTACATGTTTAAAACCTAAATGTTCAGTGGGTGCGGCATTTCTTACCCATGTGGCGCTTAGGTGCACTAAAAAAAAAAAACATTTCCTATGTCATTGTGCATAGTTTGAATGACCTTGTTATTGTACATACATTGATGCTGTTCTCACACAAAAGACCACTCAGTTGGTTTCTGTAAACTGTTTCTGTTTTCGTTCTTTCCCTTGAACGGACCTACATGCCTTAGTCACCCTAAACGGGATCTCAGAACAATAACATTCTTCTCTCTTTCAAATCAGCACTCTCATCAGTTTGAATAGTCTTTCTTCTCTGCCATTCGATGAATCTTCCAGGACCCATCCTCTCCCCACCCCTGCCTTTTCCGTTGTAAATCTACTGCAATTTTTTTCAAAGGCACACAACACCTGCGTTGCAATAACGAATTCTGACGTATTTCTACTTTAGCACAAATCGATTTTTCTTAGCATTCTGCCAGATACAGATCCCATCAGTTTGGGAACAAGTACTTGTTGGATAGTTTTCAAGTAAGAAGGGAGCACAGAAGCTATACTTCTGGTTTTAAGCTTAATGTAATTTCACATGCTGAACAAATTGGAAGCAAAGCAGCAGCTTGAGAGTTTGAAATGGAAACTAAAAAAAAGAAAAAACTTGCAAACTGGATAAAGGAGCAACGAGGAAAGGGAATGGCAATTTTGACTGTAAAAATTCGCTTACAAGCAAAATTTATGGCAAAACAAATGAACATAAATAATTTCAAAGGAGGGCCTTGCTAGTGTAGCAGATTTATGAAAAGAAAAATATTTCTGTCATACTAGAACAACAGTCGGGCAACAATTACTAATGGACTGGCAGGATAAAAAGGGATCTTTTCTAAAACATGTGACAGATATTACTGACAAAAAAAAATTCTTTCATCATAGATAATAAATATGGATTAAACGGCATTAGCTTTCGACTCCTGCAAACAGAACTGTTGATGAAACTTGTGCAAAAACTGTATCTGTGCTTACGATGGGGCATGAAAGAATGTCATTTACATGTGTGTTAGCTTGTGCCGCAAACGGTGACAAGCTAAAGCCGATGATCATTTTTAAAAGAAAAACTATTCCGAAGGGAGATTTTCCTAATGACGTAATTATTTGTGCAAACGAGAATGGATGGATGTACGAAACAATCATGCATGAGTAGCTACAAAAAGTTTGGCAGTGTCGTAGGGGATCCTTTTCCCAACCAAAAGGGTTATTGATAATGGATTCCATGTATGCTCATTTACTTGAGTCAGTGAAAACCAGATTAGAAAACTGTCTACGACCATAGCAATAATTCCTGGTGGTTTGACAAAAAACTTACAACCATTAGATTTGTCAGGTAATAAATCCTTCAAAGATTAAGTCCGAAAGCAGTGGGAGTGTTGGATGAGTAAAGGATTGCATATGTATACCAAAAGCGGCAAAATGCATACAGCATCTTATGAAGAAGTTGCAAAGTGGGTAGGAAGTCCTACATATCCTCCCTCAAATCCTCCTAGATATGCTTTAAGAATCAATAATTTCATGCTTTAAATTATACATAAAGTAACTTCACACGATTTCCTATTGTGTGCCATTTCTGTCACCTAATACCATCAGAATATAATTTTTAGAACAGATAAGAGCAAAGAAAACAGAAAAACTGCTGCATTTATGACATACTAATAACAGTATTATAACTACTTTTAATTGTAGATGGGATATATTTAATTGGGAATCTGCTGTATTTATGACATACCTAGTAAACTACTTTTAGTTGTAGATGTAACATATTCAGCTGGGGGAAAATAAAATTCTTATAATATATAATGTGTGTGTGTGTGTATATATATATATATATAGAGAGAGAGAGAGGGGTGGAAAATGATTCAGTTTGCATTTAATGACTTACATACTTTTCTGAATGCCACAAAAAACATACTTTCCTGAATGTCACAGAAGTGCAACAAGATTTATTTATTCACATTTAAGCAAAATAGTAATCTTAATTACAAAATATAATATCACCGACAAATTACTTCAAACTTTTTTTTCTTATAAAACAGAAAACTGTTTTGTTGCTTTTAAAATTATTCGTACAGTCACAGCTCATGGTATATGAACTTGTGGCTTTGCAATTTTTCGGAATTCTAAGATGTGATGCCTACAAAATACTTTGGTCATCTCTAATATATCAAAATCTACACACTAAATTTATGCCAAATGATTTGATGAAGAATATACAGAAATACAGAAGCACTTTAAAAACAAGTATAATGCTCATGATTGGAAAAGGTGGGTTAATGACTGTTGATGCCAAAGGCGTCATCTGTGAAAAATATATAATATTTGTGTTCTAAAATGATGACGCTGATGTTTGTTTATAGCACCACCTTGTGGCCACTTGTATTGAGTTTGGGTGTGTTTTAAGATGCCGCCAAGAGTTGTGAACTATGAGGCCTTTGAGTAATTAATAAATTTTAGTATACAGTCCATTTCTGAGTTCTTGCGTAAAGCGAGTTATTTAAGTATGAGTATAATTGAACTATTGTGGGCCCATTGTTGGTACTTACCCAGCCGAAGTTATACTGAGAATGTGTGTAGCAAATTGTGTAGAATGCGTCAAATTCGAAAGACAAGCGTTATGAAAGAAAACTTGTTGATTACTCTTAAATAGAAGGTATGTGGCCTTAATTGTAATAACTGTAGTTGTAAAAGTAGTTTCAAAATGTTTAAAAGTGCAAAAAAAGAAGATTATAAGCATATTGCTGTTGAGCTGAATTTAGACATTTCAGAAGCGAAAACTACATCAGATTTAATTGATATAATTAAAAACAGTGAAAGCTATACGAAGGATTCTGTATTAGTTGAAGGTATAGCTAATAATATTATCGATGAAAGGAAAAGTGACGAGAGCCTATTGCTAGAACTCGAGAAATTGAAAACGAAACGAGCGAAATCGGAACTAGAACTCGCGAAGTTGCGAGCAGAATCGGAGCGAAAACCTCATAGAATATGAGAAAAGGGAAAATGTAGAATCTCTTATTAAAAGTACATGCACATTAACAACTAAAATTCCAATTAGACCAGAAGGTTGGGGTTATTTCTTTTCATCTTTAGAAAGGGCATTCATTTCTAAAGGTGTTCGAAGGAAATTTAAATCGGAAATTCTTCTAAATTTGTTGGGAGAAAAAGCCACAAATGTTATTACATGCATTAAAGATGATAAATTAGGAGATTATTCGAAGGTGAAAGAAATAGTGCTATGAAAATTCGAACCATGCCCCCCCACATTTGCTTAGAAAATTTTAGGAAGACACAACGAATGGCGAATGAAACTTATGTGCAGTTCGCATCTAGATTAACTATGAGTTGAGATTATTATTTGAAACTGAGAAAGGTAAATGACTTGGAAACATTAAAACAATTAATGGTTTCTGATAAAATATGTCAAACACTTGATAAAGAGGTTATGTGTTTTATAAATATAAGGCAAGTAAATTCTTGGTTTAAACCTGTAGAATTGGCGAAGGAGATAGATTTATATTATACATCAAAAGGAAAACCTGTAGTGGATAATTCTAGGTTGAGTAATAAAAACAGTTATCCTAAAAATATGTTTTTCTAACTGATGTAAAAAAATTCGAAATGTATTTTGTCATGCAATGAAATTCATCCTTTGTGCAAATGCCCTGCTTATAAAAACATGACAGTTAGCGATAGAGTTGGGCTAGTGAAATCGAAACATCTATGTTTCAACTGTTTAGGAAATCATAAAGTGATTGACTGCAGCAAATTCCTTTGCGATATTTATAAAAAGAAATATCACGCTACTATTCATTTCCCTCGCGAACAAAAAATAAACAAACACATAGTTGTGCAGGTGGTAAGTCATGAAAATACTCATTCGAATTTGGACGCTTTGGCTCCATCATTTGAACCTCTGCAAGCTAAAACGAGTACTGATCAAAATTTTGTCTTAACAACGTGCAATTTTGCAAATGAATTAAAAGCTGTCTTACTCAGCACTTTTGTTTGTTTAATTAAAGATGCATCAGGTGACTTTTTTAAAGTTAGAGGTTTGTTAGATGCCGGCGCCAATTCAAATTTTATGAGCAAAAGGTTAGCAGATTTGCTTCAATTAAAGGGACAAAAGACTACATTTCTGTTTCAGGAATAAAAAATTTGTCTTTGAATATAAAATCTAGAGTTAGTGCAACTATTTTAACTAGAAATAAGAGTTTTGAATTAGGTTTAAATTTTTTGGTGGTTCCTAAAATAACAGAATATATGCCCTTTAGGC